GTGTGTGTGTGTGTGTGTGTGTGTGTGTGTGTGTGTGTGTGTGTGTGAGAGAGAGAGAGAGAGAGAGAGAGAGCGAGAGAGAGACAGGGTCTCTCTTTGTCACCCAGGCTAGAGTGCAGAGGTGTGATCTTAGCTCACTGCAGCCTCAACCTCCTGGGCTCAAGTGATCCTCCCACCTCAGCCCTACAAAAGCTAGGACTACAGGCATGTGCCACCATGCCCAAGTAATTTTTTTGTATTTTTTGTAGAGATGGGATTTGCCACGTTGCCCAGGCTGGTCTCAAACTCCGGAGCTCAAGTGATCCACCCATCTCAGCCTTGCACAGCTAAGTATAGCCATTTTAATGAATCATTATTATTTCAATTTATTTTGTCTGAAGTCATTTCTTACAAGCTATGGAAAGATCATTGTTTTCAAGACTGGGAGAAGGAAATAATGGTATACTTGAATGATGATATTTAATATTAGTTCTTTAATAGGAACAAAGAATCCTGTAATTCCTTTTTGGTGTTCCATAGTTTCATAGGGAAATTAAATTAAAATTTATTTAAATTTTAATTTTTTTCTTCCAACTTTTATTTTAGGTTCAGAGGTACATGTGCAAGTCTGTTATACAGGTAAATTGTGTGTCATGGAGGTTTGGTGTACGGATTATTTCATCATGCAGGTAATAAGCATAGTACCTGTTACACAGGTAAATTGTCATGGAGGTTTGGTGTATGCATTATTTCATCATGCAGTAATAAGCATAGTATGTGATAGGTAGTTTTTTAATCCGCTCCCTCCTCCCCACCCTGCATCAATTAGCCCCAGGTGTCTATTGTTCCCTTCTTTATGTCCATGTGTATTCAATATCTACCTCCTACTTATAAGTGAGAACCTGCAGGATTTGGTTTTCTGTTCCTGCATTAATTTGCTTAGCATACAACTACCTGTGTAATGCTATACAATATTCACTAAACATTTTAACACGTGACATTATTAATGTCACATGATAAATTATCTTTTGTAAATGGTGGCAGAATTTCTACCCTTTTCTGAAGTGTTTTGGTAGTTTCTACATTCATGGCAGCTCTTGCTATTGACTTTTAGAAAAGACTTGCTATGGTGATGGTGCTGTTCTTTCCATGAGTTCTGGCCTCTTATTAACTTCTAGGATTGTATTCTTTTGTTTCTATTTCTTCATATAAGATCACTCTTTTCTACTTTTGTCTTCTTGACTCTGAATTATATAAAAATTCTCTAGTAATTCTGTTTTTCTCTCTCCATTCATACTCTGTAAATCTACTGTTTAGTTTTATTTGTAATCTCTATAGCAATGATCAAATCTATTTGAACTCTGACCTGTGAAACACAGATTGATGTTCATAACAAATCACCTATCATTTCCTAAGGTATATACATAACTTCTATCAATAACTCACTGGACATATTGAGTTTGATGCTTTTACTCCTCTCTCTAATTTAATCCGTCTCTCCAAGCTTCCATTGCATCCTATTATCAACCAGGTTTCTTTCTATATACTCAACCACATCAGACCAATGTGCCTTTTGTTATATAGTGTGCAGATTATGCAAAGATCTTTCTAAAAGGAAATCTTATATTCTCCTTGAAAGTGGTCATATCCTACACAGTATTTTGTTTGGTTTTCTGTGTCTGGTATCTTCACTTTGCAACCTTTCTGCTGTAGAATATTGTACAAGGCTAGGTTTTTCATCTAGCCTCTTCCTACAGATTGCTTGTTTGGAGAATGACTTCTTTTCCTACTGGCTGGGTGAGTTGGCAAGTTGATTTAAGGACTTGCACCTGTAAAATGGGTACAATAAGAGCAACCCTGTCACAGATGTTTTTGAAGATTAAGTGAGCTAGTATATAGGAAACTCTTAGTAACAGCTAAATGTTAGCCATTTAGTCCCTAAATGCAGGTTTTATTATGTCCTACACTTACTGAAAAGCATATACCGACTACTATTGTGTATCACATCATCAGTTAATTTATTTTTCTGCCTGATGTTCTAAGCTTGCTTCCTAACTCCAATCCCACATAACCTTCTAATGTTTTCTCCTGTTAATCCAGTGTTCTGGGCATATTCTCTCCCTTCTTCCTTCCATCATCACTGCATTTGGTTGCATTTTCACAGGATGTTTCATACTATCAATCAGTCCTTTGACATGGTTGCTGCAGTTGTTTGGGACTTTTTAAATTCTACACTTCTTTAAAATCTGAATCAAGTCCTACTTTTTCCTGAAGTTTCTTGAATACTCAGAGATTTCTCTTTCAAAGTATTATAGCATTTACTTTTCCAATTCAATTCTAGAGTCCCATAGGTCTGTTTTTTATTATAATATACCTTCCCCTGGTTATAGCTAAAAGTAGTTGAGATTATTTATGTTATTCTCTTAGTCCTTATACAAAAGCACATTTTGATGTCAGAAAACTTAATTTCTCATGGTTCATGATTATGAGCATAAATATTAAAGAATTAACTGAAAATAAATGCTAGCACCTCACATGCTATCCAAAAGAATCTACATATACTAGTTTTGTTGCATGACCAAGCAAAAAATTAAATGATCAATACTATGCTATTGACCATTAATTATGTATCAGCAAAAAAAATAGTCTAAATTGCTGTGCATTAGAACATTATTGTGATTTTTTGATCTGGAGAACTTTTCCAAATGATGTTAGAGTCTGTATGTTAACACAGACACTGATCTTGTCCTTTCTCTGCATAAGATCTGGGTGAGAACACAGTTTATAGAGTAGGAAGGAGGTCTGATCAATGGCCACTCCATGTCACTATTAGTTATGCCCCACACTTCACTATTACCTGTTTCCACTGGCCTATATCAAAAATACTATAAAGAAAACTAAATGCCAAGACAGGGATACTATTTAATTTATATATATATTTTTTCAGCTAAATGCATGTGACTGAAGTTCTGCAACATGTTAGCAATAAACACAATACAGTCAGCCCTCTGTATTCATGGGTTTCACATCTGCAGAGTCAACCAACCATGGATAAAAAATATTAAAAATAGTAATAATATAGCAATAAAAATTCAATTCCTGCTGTTTTCCATTGTGCACTATGCTACTAACCCTTTGTGTAGGTCACTGCCATCCTAACCAGGTAAAGAGTTGACGGCAGCATTCATGTTTTATTTGGCCAGTATTATGTTTAATAAAAAGAACATTTATACCTTCAGGCAGGAAACACATACTCTAGTTCATAGTAGTCCCTGTTCTTCAGTTTATGTTGTTCTCGGCACCTTAAATTTTGTTTAACCCCTGTATCCAAACTCTTGAAGCCATTTGAATTGGGTATCCTTGATTTAGAACTTCAGCAGATCTGCTGACTCTTATTCTTTTCTTCCCTCTATCAATCAAAGTTTCTGATGAGTGAGTATGTAGCTAATTCAAGTGAGCTAGGGTGGGAAATGAATTCTAGATTGTTGTGCAAAGCCCATCTATTCAGTCATTCTGCTTTTTCACACTACAGTCAATTTGTTATGTACTGAGATATGTTCTACATATTTCTGAAAATATTTTCTAAGGTACAAATGTGAAGCTTCATAGATAGGAAATATTTATGAGCTAATGAGATTATTACACATACTATAAAGAATAGTGGATTATTAAACAGTATATTATCAAATGAGTTTGCCTACAGTTTAATAAGGATTTCTGTGTCAATATTAAACACATTACACACACACACACACACACACACACACACACACACACTCCGAGTTTTACTTTTCTCAGTAATAACTAAAGTGCAACTTCTTTTATAAGTGTGCTTTTACAAAATATACTCACTTATTTCCTATTCAAAAGCATGCCAACATGCTCTTTGGGCATAATTTAAAACAATTATTTCTATTAACATGCATATCTATAGACAGCTTTTAACAGAATTTGGGTATTTGTACTTAACAATGGAGTCATGTTTAATATACATTATGCTTATAACATTTCACATATAGTCTCATCATATAGCATTCCAGTGGTTCATAACTACCTTCATGTCAAAGATACAAAATTAGCAATTACCATGAAATATAAAGCAGGTAAATAGAAAGCAAAAAAGAGAAGATAGAATGCATCAAAATGACAAGGTATATTCCTTAGAGTACTTGTACCTTTTTAATTGTCTTCTCAATGAGGAAGTCTCCAACTGGCATTAGAATACCTCCTAACACAGCCAGGATGGCACCAATGACAGCCCCAGAGATGAGCCCACAGTTCCGATCACAGCCCATTTTTCTTGTTCAGGAGATGAATTCGTGTTAAGCACCTGTTTCTTGCAAACTCCTGGATATGATTAAGGTGTTTTCTACAACGTCTGGTTCTATCTTTAGAAAGAGATCATAAAACAGAAGCTTAAATATCAGTACAAAAAGATCAAAGTACAAAGAAAACACCCACTGAAACTGATCATTTTGCCAGTTACAAATAAACAAATGCTTTTCTTTTTGTTTCACCAAAGTGACTTCCTTGGTCTACCTCCCTTTTCTTGCTTCTATTTCCCTACCAGTGGCAGAACTAATAATGTCGTATTTGAATTTCTTCAAAATCCTCCTTTTTTCTTTCTACCCATGATTAACATATTGAAATCCTACTTAAGGAGAACTCTCACTCTCATCTCTCTTCCCTCAGTTTCAGCAACTTAGTTGCATCCTCACTCTTTATCTGGGTTCCCCACCAACCTTCCACACCCCCTGGAGCTCTCCTGCAGACTGAATGTGGGTTGACTGATATGTTCTCCACCTAAATGCTAAGCAAGTATGGGAACAGATGTTTTATTTACTATACCTTATTCACAAATCAACAGCAAGACATGAATTTTACAGGAAATGAACTGATGAGTCTCAGAAAGAATCAATTCTTCTAATCATTTGAAAGCTATCTGTTAAAATGAAAAAAGCAAGGGTAAATAGAAAATAATAGATTCTCAGAAAATTGATACTGGGACACTGTAATATGATTGTAATTATAACAACTGTTAAAAGAAAGTCTAATTTTCATGTATACTGAGTTCAGGCCTGAATTGCTTTTCCTAAAAACTGTTTAAAACATGGAATTATTTTAAATAAGTGTATCTTATTTATTTTATTATTAACGACTTTTGGATGACTACAGGTGTAAAGAATTTGACGAAAATATAAAATGTAGAAGATGTTTTGTTTCAACAAAGGCATTGTTTTCTTACTAATCTCAAATAACTTTTTCTCTACCTATTCAACTACAATATAGTTTATTTTGTCACTTGCAGTTGATGCATGCTAAGTCTGTTAAAATCAAGTAGTTTGTGTTAGCATATATTTGTCAATCTTATTTTTAGTAACTTCATATAGTATCTGGTCATTATATAAAGATTGGGAGAATATAATTTGTGAAATGAGTGGATTCTATTGTAATAATAAGAATTAATTCTGATTAGTATTTGAGAACACATATTAATGGGGTTGTCATGTCATTTATACATAATCAGAATGTGCTTTATGGCTTAGAAAAAAATTATTCTCTACTTTGAAATGCTCATGGTGAAAAAACAAACATACGTGCCAGCAGAATGAAGGCTACAGTCAAAAAAGGCACATAGGATACTGTTGTCAACGTTGTATAAATGTATTAATAATTGTGGTTTGTTATGATTTCCCTCCACAGCTCTATTGCAACAGGCATACCACTCTTATGATTTTATTAGTATTTATTTCCACTTTAATAATCATATACCTTTTCAAAAATATTACTTGTAGATCTAAGAAAATGAAAAATGACATTTTCCCCAAAAACGTAGAAAGAAATTTTGCAATATTTTTTCTTGGCAGTTTTATTATTTATATATGTTCCCTTACCCTTTGAGATTTTAATTGCCTACTCCCTTATACCTAAGATACTTTCCAGTATCAACCATAGGATGCAATAAACTTCATCTACATCAAGGTCTTGGTGATTAAGAAGATTCAATAGTTCACTGGTTTCAAGTTGTTTTTTTCTCCAGTGTGAAGGGAAGGCATGTAAGTCTAAACAAATGATTTGTTTTTCCTGTGGAATTTTATGTCTTACTGAGCAAGTAGGGCTGGATTTTTATGAATTGTTCAGCGGTGGAGCAGTAACAATAGCTTTCTCTGCCCTTGGAAATCATGTACCATGCTACCTCATATGGCTTTGTCCATGGCTGTCATAATGCAGTGGAACAAGTAATTTAATACTGGTAATCAGGACTGAATTTTGTCAAATAGAATTTCCTTTGCAATGCATAAATGCAAGGCACTTGAAACTCTTCTTGAAACAATTTTTTAAGCAACCATAGTAATTGCTTGTATGCTGTGAACTGGTCATCAGATTTAAGGTAGCTTATGAAGTACATAACATTTTACTGAATTCCCATGTCATAGACCATCCCCAACTATTTTCTGCAAGTTATACTTAAGGAAGCAATTAAAATATAGGAATCCAAACTGGTTGAATTGAGATTAGGGAATAAGGTTAAACCAAAGACTGATTCATCACTGTCTTGCTAAATGAAAATAGGCAAGCCACTTAATCTCTCTACACCTCAATTTCCTCATGTGTAAAATGAGATGCTAAAATGAGATGAGCAGTTTTTAATTTACGCAGCTGAACCAGTTCTTCAATTCTTACGTGGAAGTCCATTATGTAAAAATGACTGATTACACAACAGTGATTAGAACCCAGAGACTCTGTTTCCTAACTTGCTCTTCCTATTCCTACCTGACACTCTCTATTCTCACTGCTAGGAAGCTCTAGGAGAACCTCTGTAGAAACCCACAGCTTTATGAACACATAAAAAAAAAATGCAGCAGGAAACCCCCAGTGTCATACTCCAGTTTTGTGAATATAGTATGAATCTATTTAAAACATACATAACTCAAAGATTAAATTATCTCTCTAGGAAAGTTATTTTATGTTCCACTTCACCCAAAATTACTCATTCTATATTAATGTCATTTGCAACTCTAACAAATGTGATACAAAATGATTGAAAAGTATAAATCTATTGCTTTTAGAATAGCTATATGTGCATATATTTGCCCTTCTCCAGATTCTATGCCACAACATAGTTGTGAATCTATCTGGCCTTTTCCAAAATCATTCTTCTCTATTCACGTAGCTCCATGCACTACAGAGAAGAGCTTCTACAAGGGATAGAGAGTTCTGACAGTAATCACCGGAGAACACAGGGAGTAGTGCATGCTCTCCAATACCTCCCTCTCTAGACCTGAAACAAATTATGATGACTTCTATGGACTCTGAGCCCAGATATGCTGAGCAATGGACAGGCCTGGGTACTACCTAGCTCTGCTGTGAACTTGAAGCAGAAGTGAGATAGTGTACAGGTCCCCACTGCTGTAAAGTCACATACAGTAGAAAACAGAAGTATCAAGTAATTTATTCTGCTGAATTCTATGGTTAGACAGTTCTGAATCTAACCTCAGTTTGGATGGCATATAAGCAAAATTACAAGTATTAATCTAACAGAACTTCATCCATGTGCTAATATTTTGAATAAAGAGCTAGACAGAGAGACAGAAACTGAAATTGTCCATTTGTTCAAATTCTCAACTGATTAATTCCCTCTTATTACTTTAAGTTTATACCTTTTCCCTGAGAATGGGCAAAATAGGTGACACTAGTTGGGTTCATTTATTATCACTCAGTGCCCCGACACCACGAATAATGAAGTATTGTTATTATAATCATACTCTATCCTTAAGTTGCATGTGACAAAATCCTAATTAGTTTATTCACCTGAGGCAAAGGAGGACCAAACATATTACGTAAGACATGCACCAAATACAAAAGAGAAAAGTTCAGGTTAAATACCACACTGTAGTCAACAGCTTTTCCACCCATATTTATCTTCAAAGAAAGAATGTAGTTTTTCTCCACCATTCCACCAAATTTAACTGTCTAGAGCACGTAAAATTTGGGTCATGCTTACTCCATTTTTTAAATAACACAACTCCTTTTATATTAAAATAGTTAATTAATTTTATTTGCTAATTGTAGATTACATTTTATTTTTTACTGTTATTTGTCCTTTGTAAGAAACAGACAAGATATTGATAGTGTATCTGTAATAATTCACTTACTGCTTAAAGAACTTAAATTTAGAAAGCCAAGATATAGAAAACTAACTGAGACTTGTGTAAAGAAGGGAAAATAAGAAGACATGTTTTTACAGGCAACTAATTACATGCCTTTCTTGATTTTATAGGAAGCTCAGTTGTCTTTTGTCTAGTTTATAGATTATGAATCCTATTTATTTTGTAGATTTCATGAGTGGACTCTATTCCATTGGGCCATCTTTGAAAGAGAGGAAAAATATAACTCTAAATTTTTTTTTTTTTTTTGGTTGTCAGGTCAACAGTGTTTCTATAATGAACTTTTAAGCAAAATATCCTTCCACTATATTGGGAACTCAGTAGAAACAGAGACTAAACTTTTTGCAAAACCTGCATTAGACTGAGATGTAAGAAGCCTCTTCAGTAAAGAGTTCAGAATATTAAAGCAAGTCCCCAGAGAATCTGTAATTAATCCCTTGTGTTTATAAGTTGTGCTCCCTGGGAAATTCCACCCGGAAAAGGCATGGTTCAGAAGTAACATCTGCTGGGATGTAAACTATGAAATTTGAAAAATGTTCTAGATTTCCAGGGTACTTGTACAATAAATAACTGCCAGACCTAAATGACATTTTTTTAACTGATCGGTAGATAGCTAAAATTTCCTTTTTTCTATGTATAAGCCTTCCTCCAACTTTTTCTTAGGATAAAAAACCAGACCACACTCTTCTGTTTTGCATTCTTTTGATAGAGAGTTTTCCTTACCTAAAAAATACAGAATCTATCCATAAAATCTAGTTTTTGAAGAAGTTGAGGGAATTAATTCAACAGTTTACATGAGTATACAAGTTAGTTTTTAAAATTAAAGTCTTTTTTTCACATTCTTATCATAACTATGTATGTTTATAAAGACATGCTTCCCTAGACATGAGTAAAAATGTAGATTCAAATTCATGGTAGTATAAATGGGTGCAAATCAATCATTTAACTATAATTATGTTTCATCAACATAAGGCCATTAGGTCAGTCTTTATAAAATTGTATTTAAAGATAGAATTCTCCTTTCAAGGTTAATTTTATGGAGAATATCAATATACAAAGATAGTTCAGAGAAGAGCTATTTGGTAAAAGGAAGGAGCAGAAACTCTTCTTCCCTTTTCCAGTCACACTTCACTTGGGTTCTGAGTCATCTCCAAAGAACTCAAGGGCTGCACAAATAATTTTCAAATAACTGGAGTAGGAGACCTCCAACATCTTGTCTTACTGAAGTTATCTCATGTCCATTTCCAGCCTATCAGAATATATGAAGGCAAAAAAGTACAAGGGAAAAAACTTTGTAGAAATGTGTAATGTAAAATAATTATATACTTCTCAAATATTGCATTTTGAAACTTGTTTTGATGGTAGTCTTAAATTAATGCAATAAATACATTGGACTTTACATATTATACTTGGGATCCTTCTAGATACAAGTCCCATCTTTTAAATACTTGTGAACCAGGGATTACTACAGGTTTGAAATTATTCTCTTAAGTTCACACTGACTTAAAGAGTATTATCTGGAACCATTCTTAATTTTTGAGCCTCGCACAAGAATGCTAATGTCTTTTTTCCACACCCCAAATTCTGCTATAAACAGAAAGATACTATAAGATTTGTAATCACTAAAATTCTGGGCCTTGAAGCCAAGAAACGTAGATTCAGTTCTGGGTGTATTGAAGTTTGTCTGTAATACAGTTTTCTCTAAAATGAGTTTATTTACATCAAATAAGGTTACAAATATTAAATGAAGTAAAATAATGTATATTTCTATTGTAGATAGATGTTACTTTGAAATATTATTATAAAGTGTCATTTCAAACCATAGCAGTAAAATGTGATTTCATATTGGCCAAGAATTTTTAAAATCTAATAAATGTGTATAGTTTGCAAAACTAGAAGTGATTATTTGCAAAACAGTTATAGTGAAATGTGATCATTTATGTATGAAAATAAAATATGCAAATGGAAAGACAGCTATTACTTTAGAACAATGCTACTTGAAATTTTAGCCATATCTTGGACTGCTGAACAAAAACATCTTGTGATTAGATTTGAAGATAGTTACAGAATTATCTTAAACTTTCAGGAAACACACAGGAAATACACACACACAGGTTTCAAATGTGTTGAAGTAAACAAGGTAAAAAAAAAATTCCTAAAAAAAAATAGGGCGGCAACTATAACTTCCGAGGTAAATTCCAAATTCAGTACACTCTGTGCAAGTACCTCAATTGTAATTAATATTCCTCTCAGGCTAACTATTATCTGATGGTTCTCTATTTGGTATTGTTCTGATTCAATAATGAGTCTGATAAATTAAAAGAGTTCTGCTTTATTTCTTATCTCTCTCATAAATTCCAAAGGACCACTGGACTTTCTATGTAACAAACATTTTTAAATATCTCATTTTGGTTTCCTTGTAAACCAATATTTAGAGCAATATTTTCTTAGCTTCAAAACACATTATTGACTTAAAACCTCACAGAAAAAGACTAAAAAGTACGTGCAAATCTTTACAAAAAAGATTTCAATGTGCTACTTGATTATTCCAGAAACTGAGATGTACTCTAGGGAATTTATGCCATTTACAGTTATTCATAATTTTAGTTAATATAATTGAGGCTTTTAGTTAATTCTTCCAAATTTATTTATCCTTTACTTCAAGTTGGTATTATCATCTAAGAAAATAATTCAGCAATATTTGTAATAAGCTTTCTGAATTGGAAAAAAACATTAATTTTGATTTAGTTTTATTCAACTAATTTACATTGATTAAATTTCAGATTATTTAAAAGTAATATACTTTGCTATTTCCAGTAACAATATCTTTGTTCATTACAGAAAAGCACTTAAAAATCACATATCCAAAATACACATTGCATTTGATCATCTAGAGCAAGTCAGGTACACCAAAAGCTGTGCAATTTAGATTGAAAATTAAATAAGCTAATAACTCTGTAAAGCAATACATAATTAACAATTGCATATTAGAGAATATGTTGACCTAAGAGCTGTAAGTCATTTATAACATCTAATCTCATTATATTGGTTGGCATTATAATGATCTTCATCATTTAAATTAAACATCATGTATAAATTGCCTAAGTATAAAATGAGAGTTTTATAATAATCCAAATGGAATTGCAAATCACTTTAAATATTAACTTATAGATACAGTGTGAAATGCCATTGGACATGGTTTTAATACTTTTTAAGTATAAAATAAAGATTGATAACTTGAAAATAATGCAAACCTGATTTTTAGATCAAGCCTAGTGACTAAGAAAAGAGTGACTACCTTTTCTCCTGTCTTTGTTATATAACTTCATAGGAGTATTTACACAGAAGTGTCATCTCCCATCATCTGGGTGATGGGAAAATCCCTGGATCTTTTTTAAACAAGAATCATACGACTTACCTTTAAAATGGCTAAGAAGGAGTTTTCAATCAAATGGTCCAACATTTGAACAGACAATTCTTAATAGAATCAAATGGTATTCTGCATAAAAGTTCTACGCTGCAGTCCTCATTACATAAATGTGTGAGAGTTTAAATATGCAACCACACCTCCCTCCCAAAAAGAAAAAAAAAAAATCCACTCTACAATGTCAGATCCCAGTGTGTGGTTTGTTGCCAGAAGAATTGAAAGAAAAAAAAAATCCCTCACACAGCACATTACTGATATGGCTAAAGGTCTATTTTTATGTTCTGATGAAGACTCATTACCTATATCTGAGATATTCGACAGTACTTCTTTTTTTGGCCATTTTCCCATCCAAATAAGTCAGAGGCCAGGAAAACAAAAGGAACTGACTTGCTGAGCTTCCCCTAACATATCCCCAGATGCTGAACTGAGACAGGGGGTGGAAAGAGTAAACTGGGAAGAATAATCATATTCTCACTTCCCTGTCTTGACTGAGCTTGCAAAACTTATTTCTTTAAGGTTAAATTAAATGTACTTTTTATACAGCATAATTCTGAAATACTTTGAGCCTGATAATTTGGAAAACAACTGGAGACTGTCAATCAGCAAAGATGATAAACTGACTTAAAAAAAGGAAACAGCCTATTGTTCTAGCTAGAAGTTCTTTACTGTTTATCATTTTCTGTTAGTTTTGCAAAAATGTCATGAGCAAAGCACAGTACTTCTACAAAAAATTCCTTAAATTTCTTCAACTGAAATATGTCTAAGTAGAATTACTATTGAGGATAATCTTTTAATATAAAAAAGTACTTAAGTCACTTTAAAAAAGAAAGGATTATGCTGATATTGAATCAAAATAGAAGGCCTTACATTTTGGGGAAAGGACCTTCATTATTAAGACCCTGTTCTTACAAAGAAATTCTCAGGATCATATAGGAAAACTTCACAGGGTTAACCTAGCATGTATTCGATAGAACAGCTGGATAAGTGCATTCAAACAACCTTAGAAATAAAGCAACCTAAGAATAACAGGCAGAAATATATTTAGTTCATTAGATCATATTTAAGCTAGTCCTTATAGTTAGAATGCTTGTGCTGTCTTTTCTGGGCATGTGAGGCACACAATGAATCCTTTCATTTGTAAGCAGTGCCATACAACTGAAAAAGAACCCCAAACACTGTTTTTTTCCTCAAGCATTGCTTTCCCCCCCCCAGGGTATTTTTTACTGACACATTTATTTAAAAATTAATAAGTCATAAACATATTGTAAGTCTATTACTTTTTTTCGAATCTCAGACCACTTAATTAGAATAAAGTAGAAATGACTGTGTGTAACTTCTTTATAATTAATGCTTTCCATTAGAAAAGAGTAACTTACAGAGATTTCATAAAACTTAAGAAGGCAATTCCCTGAAATAACTGTGACCTTTTATCTTGGTTGCATGATATAAAATGGTAGTATAAAGACTAATATTATTTCAGTTAAGAATATCTACTTTGTAGATAGCTATTTTGTATTTAAGCTACTTTGATATATTTCTCAACCTTAATTCTCACACATTTGCACTCCAATAGGACAATGCAGAAACAGCTTACCAATACAAGGGTTCAGATAAGACCAATTAAAAGAGCATATTTTAAACATATTAAAGGAATAGTTAAATTATAATGAAAATATGATCACAATTAGAGAAGGATATTTCAGAAAAAATACATGCAAAATAGATGCCTAAGTTGACATCGAACTTACACAGGTATTATTTAATCAGTAGCCTAATGCGATCCAAATCTTCTGTCACTGGAGAGGACAATGTCACACAGTCCCATGAGCAGTCCAAAGAATCAAATTTATATTCCCAGAGACAGTTGTTAAGCATTCAATCCCATAGACAACAACAGTTCCTGAGTAGCTTAGCACATAAGACCCGAAAGCACACAACTGAGTCAAATCTGCAACCATGGATTTTGAGGAAAACACATACCTTAAACAATAATGCAGCAAAATGCTATACCCATTTTAGAGTAAAGAGTGTTGGGGTTTTCATTTTTTAAAAGACTATGCACCCACCATATTCTGAAGGGATGTGTTTTATATGAGGATATACCTGGCTTTATGTGAATCCACTGTAACACTAGATTAATTTATTAGAATGACAGGATATAATTTCCAATCTACTTAAGTCAGTTTAGGCACAATTCTTTGGAGACTTTTTTTTTTGCAAGAGAACACATAGGGTTAGAAATCAGAAGGACGTAATTTAAATCATCAGGCTACCTAGTTATATTGATTTGCAATTGGAAGTTAACTGCTTGCTCTTCTTTTTCCAGATTTATCAAGATATGAATCATTTTGTTGTGTGTATACACTGTAAAATGATTGCCATAATCAAGTTAATTAACATATTAATTGCTCTTATTTGTATAATCAAAGAAGAGAGAAAACTAAATAAAAGAATAATAATAAGAGCTAAGAGATGAGTAGTATACAATACCTGACAGGAGCCTGACAATTAGCAGTCACTCAAACAACACTCCCCTTTTCATCACCCCCACTTCCTACAAGCCTCCTCCCCTCTCTCTACTCTGCTTTATTTTCCACAGGTCATTTATCACCATCAAAGAAGTTCTGCCAATTGACTTTTGTTTTCATCCTGTCTTTGCACCTGCTAGACTGCTGTTTTTTTGAAAAGGGGGATGCTTGTCTGTTTAATTCACTACTGAACTCCCATAGCATAGAACAAGCTCATAGTTGGTAATAAGTTGAACAAATGGACACAATGAATATTATAACCATAATGCTTTAAAAATCGTGAGAATGAGTGGAAATGAGAGGCTATTAGGCTGCTTGTTCATACCATGGATGTGTAATGGTTTGATTCAGATTAAGAACATCTGCTAATAAAAAAAATGGAATCTGAGTGTGAATTTGGTATTCATCACTTCCTAACTGTATGACTTGTTGCTAACTACTTTACCTCACTTAAACACAGTAGAAATATCTCCCTCACAGAATTGCTGTGAAGATGAAAAATGATAATGTGAAAGATGTAGCACAGGGCCTGACACAGTTTTTGTTTAACAAATAATTATTGCTGTGCTTGGTGGCTTACATAGCACTTTAGGGGGCTGAGGTGGGTGGATCATTTGAGGTCAGGAGTTTGAGACCAGCTTGGCCAACATGGTGAATCTTCATCTCTACCAAAAAAAAACAAAAGTTAGCCAGGTGTGGTGACGCTTGCCTGTAATCCCAGCTACTCAAGAGGCTGAGACAGGAAAATCTCTTGAACCTGGGAGGCAGAGGTTGCAGTGAGCTGAGACTGAGCCACTACACTCTAGCCTGGGCAATAGAGTGTGACTCTGTCTCAAAAAACAAAAACAAAATACAACAAATAATTGCTACAGTTATCATTAGCTATTTTGCAAAATTTTATTTTAGAAAATGTATTAAGTATGGAGAGAAAGAAATATTGAAAATTATAGAAAAGTATAAAATGAGAAGCCTCAATCCCCAATTCTATTCCTCAGAAGTAACAAATGTGTGTGTTAACCTTCCCCCAGTAATTTCATAATTTCCTAAAGTATATTAGCCATTTTTATTTCAAAACATTTGTAACAATATCCTTTTTCACCTTTTTTCCCCCATAAATTGGTTTGTGTCTTTCTTATTAATTAGTAGGAAAATAGTCTTCTGACATTTGAAATTTTTTTTTACAATTTGACAATTTTTACATTTTTGGTTGTAACTTACAAAAATGTTTACATTTTTATTCTATAAACTTTGAGTCATTATTTTTAAAATAAACTTTAAAGCAACAAAGATCAAAAGAGGCAAAGAAGGACATTACATAATGGTAAAATGATCAATGCAACAAGAAGAGCTAATGATTCTAAGTATATACGCACCCAATACAGGAACACCCAGATACATAAGACTTATAAAGAGACTTAGACTCCCACACAATAATAGTGGGAGACTTCAACATCAATACTAGACAGATCAACGAGACAGGAAATTAACAAGGATATCCAGGACTTGAACTCAGATCCGGAACAAGTAAACTTAATTAACATTTATAGAACTCTCCACTTTAAATACACAAAATATACACTCTTATCAGCACCACATCACACCTACTTACAGGTTTAAATGAAATATTTGTTGGCTGCTTGTTTGTTATTTTCTTCCCGCATTTTTTCTGTCTCCATTATTAAGCACAATTATTGGTATAAAAGTGGTTTTCAATACCCAATTTTAGACTGCATTCCAGCCTGGGCAATAAAGCAACACTTCTGTTCTCTCTCCCTCTTCCTCTTTCTTCCTTTCCTTCATTCTTTTTTTAATATTATTATTTCTTTCTTTTTTACAAAAAAAAATATATATATACACACACACACGCCCCAATATTAGCCAGGCATGGTGGTGCATCCCTGGAGTCCCAGCTACCCCAGAGGCTGAGGTGGGAGGATCATCTGAGCTGGAGAGGTAGAGGCTGCAGTGAGCTAAGACCATACCACTGCACTCCAGCTTGGGCGACAGAGACTCTGTCTCAAAACAACAACAATCCCACACCCCCTAAAAAAAAAAAACAAAGCAAAAAACTGGTGGCTCCTCGGTCAGTCTATTAGCCTTGTTCTTCCATGGGGTTCCCTGAGGGATATAAGCCCATGCCCCAAGGCACCCATTTCTGAATTCACTCCTCTCTTTTGCAGTTAGAATGGTTCTCTGACCATCTTTGGAAGGGATGAGGGGCTGGGTGCAGTGGTTTATGCCTGTAATCCCAGTGCTTTGGGAGGCTGAGGTGAGAGGATCATTTGAGGTTGGGAGTTTGAGACCAGCCTGGGCAATGTAACAAGACCCTGTCCCTGAAAACAGAAAAAGGAAGAGGTGAGGAAACAGTCATCCAAATCATTTTCTGTTCTGTCCTGTGTTCACACAAGGAACCCTGTTTTACATTAAAACACTACTTTCAGAAGAAGTTTAATTTTATTTCTCAAAAAAACAAAAACAAAACTTTGAGTCATTTCATTTTGAGGATTGTGTCATGCTTTGAAAGCCTTTTTCCAGTTTGAGAATAAAAAAATAATAAACTTTCTTTTAGCATTTTTACAGTTAAAAAAAAAGTCCTTTTAACAGTATTTTTAGACAAGCCGATTCATGGAATTTGACACTTGTGAAATAAAAGAGGAAGAGTAAAGTAAGTTGAGTAACAAATATTGCAACATATTTGAGAAGCAAATGACAGATGCGTAACAAGAGTTCTGGAATAGGAATCACATGACCCAAGTACTGCTCACTGCCTTATTAGTAGGATTTGTGAACTAGGCAAGACATAATCATTGAATTACTGTTGTCCTTTTTTGTTAAATGGAGTAACCTATAAAATATACTACCCTTTAAGCTGAAGATCAAATCAAACTTTAAAATGTAGAGTTACATGCAGATAGAAGAATATTTTACAGTAGTAGATACCATTTAAAATAAAATTGTTTTACAGTTCAGCAAACGAAAAGAAGTATTTTAGTATAACTTGCATTGTAATTCTAGATTGAATGGGGGAACAAAGACTCATAAATTACAAGGATGATCATATAATAACACAGGTAACACATAGTGGGAGCTTACTGCCTGCCAGGTGTTGAGCTAAGTATTTCACATGTATTACCTTGCTGACTAATTATAGCACCTTGCTTGGCTCTTTAGATGACTAGCTGAGTTCACACAGCTAGTACTTGGCAGAACAAGGACTATAACTCAAGCAGACTG